GGGGCGGAGACAAGACCAGTCACCCTGCAGAGAGGGGGGGAGAGGGGAGGGGAGAGGGAGAGAAGGCAGTGTTTGCCTGCAGGCTGAAGGATTATTTATGAAATTAAGCCTCTATGCCTGCATGTGCTTAATATGTTATACCCGGCACGGTGATCCACACTCATTGATTCCCGATCATTAAGATGGCCATCTGTGCGTAAAATTGTCAGCCAATCAGCTGCAGTCACCGTTCAGGTATTCAAGCAGCCGCATTCCCATGGCTGCTTTTATACAATAGGCAGCAGCAGGAGATTAGCTTATCCACACTTCAGCGTGGATGGGGGAATTGAACGTGTATGGCCAGCTCTAGTGAGGAACGGAGGCGACATTGACTGCCGGGATTGAAAGCCACGAGATGTGCAAAGCACTGGGTGGTGCAACTCCAGGGGAAAATGTTGATTTCCAATGCCCAGCACGGCCATCAGGCTGTGGAACGTTTATAAACAATGCGGCAGGAATGGGTTAAACATGTCACTACCACTGAACAGTTAATGTGGTTTAATTAAACACACGGGATGAATAAACTTCAAACAAACCTTGGGATAACAACAACCCAGACCACAAGTCTATTCATGCCAGCTCGCCCAGTGCCAGCAAATGCCATGTTTGCAACCTAATCTAGTGGAACGCAATGGGAGTTTAAGAGTAAGGCACACATGGGCAGTGTGTGCGCACGGTATACTCTTCCTTTGTACAGGGGATTGGGTGAGTCAGATGTAACGCACGCCCTTCCATTGGTTCTGCTTCAATGGAGTTGTGAGAACAAACAAAAAAATAAATATTTATGGGATTCTAAAGGGCTGACGGCAGGCGAACAATGGCCTAATGGTTTATTTATCAATAAGAAAAGCTGGACAAGTGCCCCCTCTGTAAGTCCAACTCTACAAATCAAGTTATTAAGAGGCTTCAAACCACGTGTGCTACTACCGAGAGGTGGACACACCTCAATCTGAACAACAACGACGCAGGTTGTTCTTATGTAAGGTTCTTATCTACAGACTTCTAAAGTTTTTCTTTTGGATCCGTATGCAAATGTGGCACCTTAAATCACCCTGATGCCATTTCAACATTTTTTTTTTTTAAATGCTCCCTGCAAAGAAACCGCCCCATCTTCTATTCCTCGTATCTTCACTCATGTGCTAGGGCATGCCATGATATTTTTACACCTTGAAACTTACACGGCTCTTACGGTAGATCCATTGCTTCAAGGGACACAGTCATCGTAGACCCCTGTAAGTTTTAAGGTATAAAAATATCACGGCAGCATTTTGTTTCCTCCTATATCCGTGCCTTCCCTACAGGGGCACCTCTTTTGCCCTTTCAGCGTAA